TACAAATATTGTAATTACTTTCTACTTGGAATAACCTCCCTACAGGGTGATTCATACTGACATGATAACAGAAACGATTTTTTTTAATGGAACACCATAGATCCTTTAGTATATTCTAATATGTCACTTCAAAGGAAGAAGTTTTGATATAGCCTGGGATATCGCATATTATACTAATGTCTCTTTGTCGATATTTCGTCGTTGTTTTTCTACAAGTTTAGATGCTTGAGTATCTCCGGAGATACACGGCAAAGGGGAACGAATGTTCCCAAGATCGTTTATGGTTTTTTCTGAATTTATATGATATAGAATTCCAAAATAAGCTAATTTGAACTATGATTTTTCGTCTCTTATCCTCCGTCTGATTTTTCTCATGTCTGCCATTTTTGCATAGGCGAATAGCTTTTAATACTGATTTCGAACATTATAAGCCTTGAAATTATCATATAGTAACTTATTTCATAGAATATCAATGATCATAACATGTTACGCAATGATATAAGATTTAAAGTGTTAGTTTAAACTCATTGAATGAGTAACAGCCAAACGTAGCTCATTCATATTATTCTCATAACTCGCTTATAATACAAATATTTAACGGTAATAATGAAGACATCGAAAACGGTACGTATTTTAAATAATAGAGCTGAAACGCCAGATCGAAATTCTAATTATGTCACCGTTTAGAAGAGTAGTGTTATTGTGTAAGTTGTTTGAAATTTGTAGGCAATGTAGATGTTTGAAACGTTTTGTTTCGGACAAAACTCAGGTAAAAATAAAAACGACTTGGATAAATTCGGAAATACTTTGAATTTCCAAACTGTTCATGTTTATTTACTTACGCAACTTGTCCCCAGAAAGTCTTCCGCGTCATTTAGGCGAATGTCTCAAAATCAGCATTTGCTGTGATCCGTCAATATATTTATCATGAGACGTCGTATTTATTGACCGTGTAGTCTGAACGTCAGTAATTATTGATCTAAAATATTACGTATAAATCCACTAATGGTACGGACACAGTAAAAACTGATGGTGTGATATTCGGTTTACCGTTTCCGAGATTCCAAAGGCGAGGTTCGAATTTGAAACACACGTAAAACATATATACTGCTTTTAAAAAAATTAAGTTTATATCCAACATAGGTTTCAACTAATCCTAGTAATTTCTCATCTAATAGATATTCATTCCGCTTGTGGTGAACCATGTAGATGAATAATTTTATTTTTGTAAAAAAGGTTCTTCCCATTTAGTTCTTGCCGAGCTAGGGAAAAGAGGGGGCAGCTGCCGCATTGCCCTCTCTGGGTACGCGTTTGTTAAGCCAGCCTATATTGGTAGGAGTATGTTTCGACTATTATTTTATCTTTAAAGTTAAAAAGGTTAAAGAATTCCAGGAAATGTTGGAGTTGAATATTTCTAAAACGAACCTTAGCACTCTCCGAGTTCATTTTATAGAAATTTATCTCGAAAGATATTTTACCTACGAACATTAAATTTTATAGAGAAGTACGGCCACAGGTAGTATTACGAAAGTCGTTTGTTCCTCTACTAGAGTACCTAGAATTTAGCGGGGAGGGAGTTTATAGGCAGTAGATGTCGGTTTAGAACAAATTTGCGACAGAGCCCTATTAAGGGGTTAAAAGGTACTTTTGAGTTTGTTTCAATTTGCTTGGGATTTTCTGCTAGATACTTGAATTTGCCAATAATGAGATGCTTTATTTACTTAAACTAAGATTATGTGACGTGGGCGAAAAGGGGTTTGAGGCTTGTCACAATTTTATACATATTTACATGGAGACACAGTGGGTTTGAGGGGGCCAATGGGCTATGATCCAGAACGTAGGGGTCTTCTGTAATATTTATCTTCATCGTATAGGATGACGATGAAAATCAGCTTGGCAAACCATTCGTGGGCGGCGATGGTTAGATTTTCACCTACTTGCGCATAATGTTTCGAAGACCATACCCACTTTGTTTCCCGTTCGTCTCCCTTCTGCAATATTTTTTATTTTTTTTCTCTTGCTCAATAACTGCATTCAATAGTATTATTACTTTTTTCCACAGAAAAATAATAACATGACAAAAAGGCCCTTATATTGATTTTACCCATTAAGCTGTATTCAAGGTTGATTTTATTAAATTGAAGAGCGCCCAAATTTCAATAGTCGCCACACAACCACCTTCCCCCCCGCCCTCCGAGAACGAAAACTTACTGGACATGAAGTATGGGACTACAAATGTGCCCCCCTTGAATTTTAGTTTATGGGCGTTCATGCTGGTGTTGCTAGAATCATCGGCGAAAATATATGGAGAATATAAAATGCGATAGTGTTTAAGAGATGCGTAATATCACCGGGATCACAAATTTTTCAGTGCTAAAATGTCTTTCACTGTTATCAAAGGTATACTTTATCTGAAGTCACTTGAAACACTGTGAAATACCGGGTGCGTTTTATATATCTATATTTAACACGCTCTGTTGCTGTAAAAATCGCCAAATTTCGCAGCAAATATCCCCCGTATAAGATCAAAGGCAGTTTCACCGGTCCACGTGGAGTATAGCACGCCTTTGCGTGGACATAGCCAAAGAGAGCGTGTATTTCAGAGCTCCGAACGAGTGCAGGTGGCTACTGAAAATTGAAACAGTTTAGCCAGTGCCGTGTAGCGGTGAATAAACGTGTTTTCTTTAGTCTGTCCGTGTTTTTTCATAGATTTTATTAGTTTGTGTGTTTTTGACTTTTGAATACTCAGTTTACTTGTTGATTTAATTGTTGTGTTGATTGTTCTTGTGTGTCCTAAATATGGCTCTTTGGAGACCTTGGGAAAATGCTCCAAGCCACGAGGAGATGGTTGATGAACCTGTGCAGGCAGAATTCTTTCATAAAGATTTAGAGGAACAAACCCAAAGAGTAATCCTAAATATGTATGATTGTCTGAAAAACGAAAATCCAGATTCCTCGCAAAATCAAATTTTAAACAGAATTTGTATCCTGACAAAAATCAGTCGGTCTACCATTTATCGGGTTATAAAAAGGGGAGATGTAGTTAACCATTCCTTCCACAGAAAGCGCATAGGGCAAAAATTAAAAAGAATAGACGTGGGTTTTCAGGAAAATATTCGTCGTATAATATACGGATTTTATAAAGAAAATTTGGTGCCCACGTTATAAATGATACGGGATAAATTAAAAGATTATCCTGAAGATTTTTATAATTACAAATGCTTAGACTCACTGCACTGTATTGTAAAACTGTGTGGTTTTCAATACAAAAAATTAGATAAAAGAATGGTGATTATGGAGTCGTCTCGAATCGTTGAATTGCGCCAAGAATTTTTGCACAAAGTTAAAATCTATAGAGAGCAGAAAAGAAATCTGATTTACCTGGATGAAACGTGGTATGATACCCATGATGTTGTGCAGTACGGCTGGGTTGACGACAGCAACAAGTGCATTTTAAATGCACCATGCAACCGTGGAAAACGAATCATTATTCTCCATGCTGGCAGTGAAAATGGATTTATACCTAATGCCTTGCTGTTATCTGCCAAAAATATCAAAGAATCATGTGCCGACTATCATGAGGACATGACCTCCGACTTATTTGAAAAGTGGATAGAGCAGCAGTTAATACCAAACATTTCCCCAAATTCAGTGATTATTATGGACAATGCGCCATACCATTCCCGACAGAAAAACAAAATTCCGAATACAGGCACAAAAAAACAAGACATTATTGATTTTATGAAGGATAAGGGAATGGAAATACCACAAAAATCAACCAAAGCCATATTATTGGATCTTATTAAAATACAAAAATTTGAAAAAGAGTATGTTGTTGACAATCTGCTTCAGCAAAATGGCCATGAAGTATTACGTCTACCTTCCTATTACTGCATTTTTAACCCGATTGAGTTGGTCTGGGCTGCTTTAAAAAAAAGTAAGAAAACATAATCAGACCTCTCAATTAAGTGAATCGCTATTGGCCACAATAAGAGATGCAGTATCTCATATTGCTGCCACAGACCTATGGAAGCAGTGTTCTAGGCATATTACGTATTGAAAAAGAAAATGAATATTGTGTTTTGCCTCCTGTAAATCCCGTTGTAATTCCTCTACAAGATGACTCTAGCGACAGCTCCGAACGCGAGGATGATATATAAATACCTATAATGTAAGTCTTTATATACTTTTTTATATACGTACCTGCTATGTAAATATTTGCCTATGCCAAACGTTGGAATTCTGTAATTTTTCCATTTCTTAACTTTCAGTCAACATAAATTAAACTCCCAATATAAGTATTTTTTATCCCAAATCAAAAAATAAGAAGATAGTAAAATCTATTTATTGTGATATAAAAACATTATTATTATCGTTCTAAATAAATCTCCGCACGCCTATGATACGTCATGAAATTACAAAGGACGCGCCGATCAAAGGTTTTTATGCTATTTCAAGTGACTTCAGATATACCATACCTACAACATTTATACGACGCTCAATTTTCAATCATTACAAATTTCCCGAAAGTGATCAGGTGTCCCTGAAACGTTATGGAACGAAGTTTGGACGGTTTTTTCCATATTTTGAGCTAGGTATAGTAGTAATCTTATGTTAAAGTTTCACCAAAACTCGAGTGACACTTTCCAAATTATGGATACTAGCGAACAGACCGACAAACAGACAGACCGACGGAAATTAGTGAGATGAATTTTGTAGATGTACTTGTATATTGTGAATACACATTTTCGAAATTTTAACAGCTGCAATACTCTCTGGCCAATACAATGGACGTAAGAAGTAAAAGGCTTCAGTGGCAGCCGAAACGTCAGTCTTGTTTATTATGTTGAGGATTCATGAGTCGGATAGACTAAACGGAATGTATAAGTTTCCACATGTTCCTAATCTGGAAAAAATAAATCGTATCTTACATCAAATATAAACTATTCCAAAGTTGGATCTTTTGCCACTCTACCCGTCCGACCCAGTTTTCTCTACACAGCATCCCTTCTGCGATGGATCTCAGCTTCCACAGGAAAATCGATTTTCATCTGACAACGGTCATACAGACCGCGCCTTCCAATAATCGCACGTGTTATTTTAGAAATGAAGTTCTTTCAGAAATGTATTTTCCTGTTTTGTTATATTATTCAGTTATGTTGGAGTGTGCAACATTGGAATTCCGGCAATCCCACCGTTTTTAATATAGGAGGGGTGCTAAGTAGCAATGAAAGCGAGAGATATTTCAAGGAAACAATTGATGTAAGTTTTATGTAACTAGGAGTAGTAGTATCTTGTGCTAGAGCTAAAGCTTAGCTATTCGTGAAAGTACGTATGATCCAAGGACACTTTCATCTTTTGTGTATGAACAAATATCCGAATTTCGTGAACAATAAAGGACTGCCATGTTTTTTTTTATTTGATCCTGTATTTCCTTTGGCCACAGATTGCGTATTCGTGATTTGAGAACATAAAAACTCAGTTCTGTAAGGTAATCCGAAAAAGTTGGAATTTTTTAAATGATTGCCTCTATCATTTGGTCATAGATTGGTTATTGAAAAATAAAAAAGATACAATATAATGTTTTTGGATGTCACATGCTATGTACACCACGAAAACCCGTCGTTTTGACTGTCAGTCTATCTGTCCGCTGATCGTTAGACCCTGTATAATATGGAAAGCATTGCTCCGATTTTGGTAAAATTTCGACTCAAGATTACCACGGCTACTAATATGCTAAGGAGGGAAAAGCTTTATAGTTTTTCAGAAATTGATCCACTAGCGGCTGAGCTACGGGTAAAAAAATGAAAAAAGTGGAAATTGCTCGAACTTAGATTTTTGACGTTCTAGAGGCGACTTTTCATTTTTGTGAGATTATTTCGGAGGATAAATGATTGTGAGAAAGTATAGCTTGTCGCCGTCTGTATTTATACGCTTCCAAGCCCGGTAATTCCATGCACTTATTAGACATATTTCAATCATCTGCCCTTAAAACCCTTGAAACTTGAAATGATACAAAGAAATGTTTTCAACACACGCGTTGAACTCAACGAGCATAGGGAGGAAGGTGTCGGAGGTTAACGCTGGCTGGCCAGGTTTAGTTATAGCAACGTTGCCATATGGACAGTATCTTCGGTAGGGCAGGGGAGAAATTTTTACACAGCAACGTTGTCAAATGCATGGAGACTAGGGACTAATTGTATGGACCTGTTTGACTAACGTAATCCATTTACTTTTTTGTTATACATGCTCATAGCTCATAGCAAAAGTTTATCTCAGAAGGGCTAACACGTTCTGAATGTAATCCTTCATGAACTGATGACAGCGTGGAGTGGGAGGTGCAGAGTCAACATATCTAACGCTATTTTTTGTTCTATGGTTAACTATGGATTATCTAGCCCATATACCTCGTGAGCTACTCATAGAAGAACCTTAGATCCATGTACACCTTAGTTTTTCGTGTTGGGAATAATTATTAAAGTAACCGACATTCATGGGATTCTCGGAGTCCTTTCTTAAGTCCCTTGGATATGGAATTAAGCGACCTGCTGACCCTGTTAGCGTTCATCAACGTTTGGCTATATATGTAACTAAAAAAAAAGAATGTTTGTATTTGACTGCCTTTGCTCTTCGGCCATATATTGTTCTATGAATGGCATGATATATTTCTGCATCCGTTTCAGCATCTAAACTTCGATTCCCAATACGTCCCTAAAGGGGTGACCTACTACCACACCGCTATTCTGATGGACCCTAACCCAATACGAACAGCATTGAATGTTTGTAAATACCTTATATCTAGCAAGGTTTGTTACAACCAAACGATCAGAATAAACCATTATTAATCTGATGTATGCCTTAGGTGTATGCCGTGGTTGTGTCACATCCCTTAACAGGAGACTTATCACCTGCTGCTGTTTCATATACCAGTGGATTTTATCACATTCCCGTAATCGGAATTTCCTCAAGGGACTCTGCTTTTTCAGACAAGGTAACTGATATATTATATTGTCGCCTTATCTTAAACTATAAAATCATAGGACAAAAATATAAGCTTTGACGATGCCCGTTTTGATCCTGAGGAAACATGAACATATTCCAAAAAGATTTACTACTTTTTTACCTTAAATTTTTGGACATTTTTGATCAGGGTTGGAGATACCTACAAAATAACTACAATAAAGCTTCTTGAACTGACCTGTTCGCAGCATTTTTCAAATGTATTCTTTCATATTTCTCTTGAATACTAGAAGTTTGATCATGTACTACCCGTACCAAAGGAACATTCAAGTATCTACAGGGTTACTACAACATGATGGAAAATCTATCGAAGTACATTTTTTCAAAAGAACCCCATGAGCACCCGCAGACATTTTTCTCAGAAAATTGTACACAGAACCATGCTAAATACGTAAATTTTTAAGGTCCGACCGAATTCCCAGGCGGGGCCACGGCCTGCGGGCGCTCATGAACCTACTGAGTCTTTCAAATACTTTATTCGATAAATCTTTAATTTCAGAATATTCATGTTTCTTTCTTACGTACGGTACCTCCGTATTCTCACCAAGCTGATGTATGGGTAGAAATGTTAAAACATTTCAATTATAAAAAGGTTATATTTATCCATAGTTCCGATACAGACGGAAGAGCTCTACTAGGGCGATTTCAGACTACTTCACAAAACTTGGAAGATGATATAGAGATAAAAGTACAGGTAAGGGCCTTATCGTCAGTCGTGCCCTCAACTGTAGGACGTCTTTAAGGCCTCCTTGATTTTCATAGTCTTTCCTCTCCTTCAAAAATTTCTAGATTGCATCTGTTACGTGACAGCGTCAGCCCTCTCTATATGAACTGATAAAACATGATTTAAATCAAAAACATGAACAATCTGATGCAAATAGATATTTGTAACATAACTTCAAAATTGAGGGCTGACACGGAACAGTAGAGAACTATGAAAATCAAAGAGGCCATAAAGGTGTCCTATGATTGTAGGAACGACTGACGATACGACCTTAGAGTATCAGTTCCTATTATGGTTATGATCTTTTGCGGATGAAAAGCAAGGGCTAACTTAAGAACTTAAGCAGCGCTTCTAAGAAGAATTGCGCTTGTAACAATTAAAGAGGGGAGGGTTGGTCTACATCTAGGGGAGGCGCACGTATCACGATTTAGTGTAGCAAGGCAATTCATACTCCAAGATACAGCAATATATACCACTTTTTGGAAAAGAATGGGAGACCTGGGAGTCTACGGAGAGCTCCGCCCTCGCCCTCGCGCTAAATCCGCTCTTGATAAGAAGTAAGTAGTCAAGCATGAGAAGCGACGAAGAAGAAATGGTGCTTCAGGTGCAATAATTAATAATTCTTCATTTCTAATCTGAGATGCAAATAGACCTTAGAAGATGTTTTGCATATAATTTTACAAACATGTTAATATATTTCGCACATAGATTTCTCCACATATTTGCCCTTAATATTTTCAATATTCGCATTGAAAGCGAAAATAAAGAATAAGCCTGTTGGGAGTTGGCCGCTGGCTGGCGAGGTATAGTCATCGTAATTATGAGGAAAGCTACCAGGTAGTCGGTGCTGTCGGTAGGCAGAGGAGAAATTTATAGATCGCAACGTAAATAAACGGGTGGGAACTTGGGACTAATTGTATGGGCCTAATTATCTGACTTGATACGTTTAATGTTTTTGTCATACATGTGCCAAGTTGATGGCAATCTTGCGAGGGACCCGCAGAGTCAACCCATCTGACGCCATTTTTAAGCTCTATAAGACAATTCCTTCATTCCCAAAATATTCCTTTCAATTCTATGCACAGTTATCATCTATAATATATCCATGTTTCCAAATATCAAACTGTTTCACCATTACCTTCTATAAGTAGATATTTATTGATTCTTGTTTAGGTGGAGTCTGTGATAGAATTTGAGACAGGCCTTGAGAGCTTTAAGGAACAGCTGATGGGGATGAAAAGTGCTCAAGCAAGGGTATATTTGATGTATGCAAGGTATGAAAATGTATACGAGTTATACCATACTTGCATGTGAAGGCTTTTTTTCGATAGTATTGATTTAGCTTACCTATGGCCGGCTCAAGTGATTTTGCTCCGCCCTCACAAAAATATTGGAAATTAAAAATACGACAAAAATAAATTGTACTATGAATTTGCTGTTCCTTGTTACATAATAATAAAAACTATTAACATTTTCAGAGGGTTTGCTTACGTTAATTCGGAATTAAGATTAAAGTCTACTTTGTAGCTATTTTTGTATTCTCAAAACATACATTTGTCATATTTTTTTCCTGTCGGCAAACGGGGTCATCCGAGTCAGCCCAGATTCTTGCCTATATCCTGTTGTAAATTCTTCTCAAATTTCAGCAAACAAGATGCGAAAATTATATTCATGGATGCAGCAGCTTTGAATATGACTGATGCTGGATACGCCTGGATCGTAACCGAGCAAGCATTAGAAGCTGAAAATATTCCTGAAGGCATATTGGGATTACGTTTGGTGAACGCCACCAATGAGAAAGCGCATATTAGAGATAGCATGTAAGTTACTGTACAGGGTGTGCAAAAAGTCGGTGACCTTGGCCTTGTATGTTTTTCCTAGGTTAAGTCCTTTTTAACACGATTTCATAAGCTTGGCCTGTATGTAACGGAATCTTTGAGCATAATTTTCAGCAATTTCCAGAAGTGTGATTAACTTCGGACACGTATCAGGGACCAATGACAATGCAATAACTTGATAACAGTTTCCCATTATCCTTATTAGGACCGCCAGGACTGATAAATTCTTTTATAGATCCTATACAGGTGAGTTACAGAGATAGAGCTAGCGCGCGACCTGCGCATGGGTGCAGTCTTGGACTTACTCTTTGTTGGTTTGTTGGTTTGGGCACTCGGCACAGTACAACGGAGGCAGATACTTTTTCAAAGTAGTGCATTCTCACCTTCTTCATTGCGAATGTCGCCATTAATCCTGAGTTGAACTTTGACCGTCCACAAGATGCAAGGTTGTATAGTCGATTATACAGTTATTTATCTAGGCTCACGACTGTTTGCTTATGTAGCACTTAGTCGTGAAAGATCTTTAGACGGTATTGGGATTGAAGAGCTTGAATGCTCTAAGTTAAGAGGGAAAACCCCATGCAACAGTGAAGCTTCAAATATGGAATGATTCGTAAGACGTTTTAGTGCCACATGTCCACAAAAAACCAATTGATAAATCGAACTAAAAAATGAAAAATAAATAATAGTTTAATAAAACTAAAAACACACGCTTTTATAGCTAACCGAACTAAAAAATAGAAAATAATATTCAACTACAAAGAGTAACAGTACAGTAGTAGATGGTCGAACAATCAATCATAATTAACGACCTCAAAATAAAATTATAATAAAATTTAAGTTATTAACAGAGTAAAAAACATTACAAAAACTTATTATTGGATTAGAGGAAATAGGTTACAACATTTTTTGTGTTGTGATAATAATGCACTGAATAGTAAAGCGATGGCACATATTTCTTCAGATAGTAAAGCAAGCATTGTTTATCTGTATCCGTTGGATAAAAACGTCTTTTCTTCCTTGTTGACCAGACCAAATTTTAACATTTTATATTTTGAAACACATGAGGTTAGTCTCGCTTCATTTAAATCTCTCAAAACATTGCACCAAATGGAAATTTATAAAATATTGAAACATGGTTGTGGTTTCACCCTGACAGCTTTACATCCAACAAGCCTTGAAAGAGAATATGTTCATTTAGCTCTCAAGATATTCAATCCATTTGTAATATATGCAGTATCAAGGTTTGGTAAAAACATACAGCGCTCCGAAGAGACACCAAAATTTTTATTACGTTCTTCGTTATTTTTTGTTATGTTTTTCTGTTGTTTTCCTTATTCCTTTCCGGGCAAGAGCTTACCTCTGACCTCGTTGGTTCTTGCTGAACACAACTGTTCAACAAGCACTCCATTTTTGATTATATATTGATGATATGTAATTTTCAAGTACCAGTATATATGTCTATCATCATAGTAAATTGTCCACATATTCCTGTGAAATTTTGTTTATCTGTTGTGACTAACACTGGATTATGTATGTCATTGAATTTATTATTATTAGCAAAATATTGTAAACTTTTATAACATCAACTTATTACTGAAATGTGCACGTAATGTTGAATGAAATATCAGTGAAAATCAGTTTAAAAATAGTTAATAACTAGCGTGAGATAGCGCAAAGCGCACCAGAATCGAACCATTGTAAATCGCGTACCGCTTCTATTAACATAGTTGGAACCGTCGCAGTTCCCGCTGATGATTCTGGCAGAATGCAGAGGGGTCTGCTAGCCTCATTGAACAGGTCAAAAGTTAATAGTTAATAACTACTTTAATATTTTCCACCAAGTTGCCTTCATATTCCAAAAACACATTCCTGAATTATCCGTCATTTACAGCAGGTAGAATATGTTAAATATGCAATAATCTGCAATAATCATATATTATTCACTAGCGCTGATGTACGGCACGAAGTAAGTAATGTTACGCTGCGGTCGCGACGAAAATGACAAGTACACAATTGGTCGATTATAATCCTTTCTCAGTATAAAACAGACTCGATGCCGTGTCTTGCGGGGGCAGGCCGGTATTGTTTCTATTTGTGTGATAACATGGAAAATAAATAATGATCAAATTACTACTGCTTTTTTCTGTTAAGCCAAAAGTTTTGGCAGTTCTGCAGCTCTGCAGAACTTAAGGGCCAGTCGCCCCTGGACTGTCGTAAATGAAATGATATCACGATCGAAGATAAATATCCATTACCTCGTACAGACGAGATATTAGAAAATTTAGGCAAAGCTAAATATTTCTCTACTTTAGATTTAGCGCAAGGCTTTCACCAAATCAATGCATCCCGATTCGATCGAAAAGACTGCTTTTACTGTCGAAAACGGACATTACGAATATGTTCGGATGCCTTTGTTCTCTCACAAAACTTATAACTAGCTGCTTAAAGAAAGGAGGAAAAAACCCATTCGATACGCCAGAGTATCCAGAAGTTTTTCATGCTTTGAAAAAGATTCTTACGAATCCCCCAATTTTGTCTTACCCCGACTTTTCGAAACCTTTTACGCTTTCTACTGATGCAAGTAATATTGCTATAGGTTCTGTCTTGTCTCATTGCTTTTCATTCGAAAACTCTTAATATCACTGAAAGAAATTATTCCATGATTGAAAAAGAATTATTGTCTGTCATTGATTCCTACTTTCGACCTTACCTATTTGATCACAAATTTACGATCGAAACCGATCATAAACCCTTAGTTTGGTTAGCAAATTTGAAAGAGCCCAATCAACGCTTAATTAGATGGAAAATAAAATTAGAGGAATATAATTACGATATTGTCTATAAGAAAGGTAAAGAAAATCATGTCGCTGACGCTTTAAGTCGCATCGAAATTAATCACAACGATTCTCAGTCACCCAATACTTCTGACGATTCCCTTGTTCTATTTGAAACAGATGATCGCTCCACTAATACGAGACACACTAGTCCAGAGTCATGTCCAAATCTCATTCAAATTTCGGAAGACAAAAACTTCTATGCTTATGGCGGCCATAAGAACAATGAAATTTGAGGCGGGAAAACAAAAGACGATTGACACCTGTCATACAAGCTATCTTATTTTCCTCAGAAAAATGTCCGAATAATGTCACACTTTGACAGCGGTCCAATTAACCGTTTTGGATTTACTGGCAAAAAACAAAATTCGACGTTCGGTTTTTCGCCGATATTTCCAAAACCAATTGACCGATCGTAAATCTGAAGCCAGCTATCGAATGCACTAAGTTTCCTTTAAAGCTTTCCCCATTTAACCTTTGCTGTAGGTATAACAGGTGCCGAGGTCCCTGTATAGAGAAGCGAATCTGGGACACACTATGTATACGAGTATTTAGGGTGTTCCAAATTTGACCCTCACCATTTGGATATCGGAAACTGTAACAGATACGGAGTCGCTTAAATGGGGGCAAAGATACGTATTTAGATAATCAACAAAGTACCACTTAGAAAGTTTCGAAATTCAAAGTACTTAAGGAGAGAGACGGAAAAAAACGAAATTTCCTAAAGTAGTCTTAATTTTTTCCTGATTTTATTTGTAGTGGGATTTCAAAATACGTTGCACAAAAACATTGCCACTTTCCCCTCCTCTACAAGATGGCATGATAGAATTTCAATATGACGTTTCGTCTCTTGTCTTTCAGCATCAACTTTTTTTTCTTATATACTTCATATTGGATTTTTGCACAGATGAATAGAGTTTTTAATTCTGACTTCAAAAATATATAATATGTCTTACATTGACGTTGATAAACCTTAGCACCGTATCGTCAGTCGTTCCTACAATTGTAGGACACCTTTACGGCCACCTTGATTTTGATAGCCTTTTCTCTCCTTCAGAAAGCCTGGAGTATTTCTAGATTTCTACTGGTCCGCGTCAGAGTCAGCGCTCTCTTATTCTGAGGCATGTTTTCTTTTTGAATTGTATGGAAATATCAGACTGATAGAACAGATGATATAAATCAAAAGCATGAACAATTTGATGCAAATAGATATTTGTAACATAACCTCAAAATAAAGCGCTGACATGGAGCAGTAGAAAACTATGAATATCAAGGAGGCCCTAAGGGCCCTATCGTCAGTCGTTCTTATAATTGTGGGACGCCTTTATGGCCTCCTTGATTTTCATAGTTTTCTACTTTCCGTGTCAGCGCTCCATTTTAAGGTTATGTTATAAATATCTATTTGCATCAAATTGTTCATGCTGTTGATTTATATCATGTTTTATCAGCCTGAAATTTTCTACAATTCAAAAAGAAAACATAACTTCACAATAGGAGAGCGCTGACACGGAACAGGTGCAATCTAGACATTTTTGAAGGAGAGAAAAGATTATGACAATCAAGGAGGCCATAAAGGCGTCCTACGAGCCCATAGAACTAAATATTCGGACACCTTTACTTTTTGTACAAGTGGACCCATAAATTAACTGCCGTTTTCTAAAAATGTTTGGCAATCAATGTATATTGATAGATAAGCATAATAAACAGATATTTTTAATAGCGGCACCTCTGATTTAAAATTTATTAAAGACAAACAAAATCACTAAAATATCGTGAAATATGGTGACAACTAAATGTTCGGACATGTCAAGAAGCATAACATTAGAGATAAGCAGAGACTAGCAGGCTATGCAAAAACAATTGAGGGCGATACCAATGACAAAATACCATTTATGTCAATGTCGTTAGAAATTGTATTTAGTATCTAATTGTATTTTCTTGGTGGTAATTTATATTCATGCGAGGCGTAGCCACTAACCAGAAAGTGAGGCAAATTATTATTCCGCAGTTTTGCAAAGGCAAGTCAATACGCAAAATATCAAGTGATCTGGTTATCCCTAAGTCTACAGTTTCGGACATTATAAAAAAGTATGGCGAAACCGCCAGTACTGATGTGCGCGGTAAATGTCAAGGTCGACCGAGGATTGCGACTGAACGGAATCGAAGAGCTTTGGTCAAAATCTGCAAATCAGGTAGACGAAACACTTTAAGGGCAGTTACCGCTCAGTGGAACACAAAGTGTGGAATGCAGGTTTCACGAGAATGCTGTCGAAAATGCATTCATAAATCTGGACTCAATTGTATAAGGTATGCATTATAAAATTATCGTTCCAGAATAATTATAAAATGTTTTTTCATTAATTAGGCTAGTGGCGAAGCGTCCATCTAACCATTGTTACCATTGGTAACAGTTAAAAATCTTAAAAATAAATATTTTATGACTAAGTACAGTGAAATAATTTCATTTATTTGTTTACCAACAGCGATATGTAAGTAAATAGCAAATTAGCTCACGAAAATAATGCGCCCTATACGATGAAGCTGACTCGCCTCGACTTGGTTGTCGGTTGTTACCATTTTCAGTTATGGATACACTTGGTAGTCCGTCGCGGCCGCCCGAGTGCGTGGGGCGCTGCGACTATTATGTGGGCTTGTTACCATTTTTTGATTTGGTTACTCACTTCTCACTTGTCAGAAGCCGTTTTGGTTACTGGTTGTAGTGTGCGTGCAATTAAAGATGGATGAGTGTCGCTGCGTAATCGATCAACTACTTGAAAAGTCATTCTCCTTGTATAATTTTTAAGAAAAAAAGGCGATCATTGAAAATGGAAGACCAACACCTATTTTAGATAATTTTAAAAAGGAATAAAAAACGTAGTTTGATATTCTAAATTAAGTTGGTATATGGAAACTCTTGGTTATGTGGTTGCAAAAAAACAGATTGTATTGTTGGCGATGTCTTCTGCTTTATACAGAAAAACATGGGTGGACCAGCAGCGGAGTCAACAATTTAAATAGTTTTAGGGTTCTAAGGAGCAGACATGAAATTTCTCCGTTACATGTGAGATGTGTAGCCAATTTAATTCAGTTTGGCAAAACAAGAAACGAAAGTTGTCTTAACCAAGCTTTTAGGCAGCACACTTCTAGATACCGTATGTTTTTTGGTAAAACAGGAATTACTGTTCATTTTGAAGGGGATGGCTCTGACAATAGAGGAAATTACAGAGAATTGTTAACATTCATTGCCAGAAAAGATCAAAAATTTTCTGCACTCGGGCGGCCGCGATCAGACACGAGCCGGTACCGGAGGTCACCGACGGACTACCAACTGTATCCATAAATGAAAACATAAATGAAAATGGTAACAACCGACAACCAAGTCGAGGCGAGTCAGCTTCATCGTGTTCGCAAAACCTAGACACTATAGGGCGCGTTATTTTCGTGGGGCTAATTTGCTATTTACTGAATTACTATTACATATCGCTGTTGGTAAACAAATAAATGAAATTATTTCACAGTACTTAGTCATAAAATATTTGTTTTTAAGATTTTTAACTGTTACCAATGGTAACAATGGTTACATGGACGCTTCGCCACTGAGGACGGCGCATCATGCCACACTGCCAAAAGCATTAGTTAAGACTATGCCTGCAAGAATTCAGGCAGTAATTAAGGCAAAAGGCGACATAACAAGTTATTAGTTAAGTTACATTTTGTAGTGTCCGGATATTTAGTTGCTACATATTTTTGAGAAGTTTAGTTTTTTTTTGTTAATTTAAATTACTTATCAAGAAAAACAAATATTATCATCGAAAATAGGCCACATTTTGTATAAACTATCAATAAAATTTTTCGGTACAAGTTTACTATCTTGTTCTGTTATTTTATAAAAAATTTGCACAAAATTTTAGAAGGGTCCGAATATTTGGTTGTTCGGGCTCGTACACCTTTATCCTTTCAATGAACTATGATACATTATAATGATAGAATAAATCTGGTAACACTTCAATATGAAACAATTTTCTACAACCCAACACTAATAATGACTATTCTAACAGTACATTTGCTAGTAAAAACACTCTGTGAAATGAATATGAATGTGCGTAGCTCCACAGAAAAATTCGTATAAGATATATTAGTACAGAAACTGCCATCAAACTACTCAGGATGGTTCATTCCAATTATTCATCCTTAAATTCAACCTTAAAGTTGCTGCTATTTGCCTTCTTCTCCTCAACAAAATGATATTTTCTGCAAACTATCGATACTCATTCAGTTGCTCTGCCAATGGAAAACGATGGGAAAACCACGGGAAAATGTCATAAGTTCTGCACATAACTATAAATGATGACAGGATGACACTGATAACTCGGTCAGAATGGCCGCTAATGTAAACAACAACTTCAAAATGAGCAACATTTATTAGCTACCAACAGTGATTAACAAACATCTCAGTAAAAGTCTCAACATTGAAAGTTGATGACGTCATTGTTCTGGCGACTCTCAGCGGTCGCCGCCAAATGGAGTCGGGTCCCTGGAGCTTTGATTCTAAATGAGTTTCGACAGTTGAAATTGATTTCGATGGCGCCTTGCGACGATATACGTAATTAGCTATGATAATTTTGACACTGCCATGATAATTTCAATATAGAAGATCAATATAATCAGATGCCAAAATTATCAAGCGAATCAAGTGTATCATCACAAGGCGCCATCGAAATCAATTTCAACGGTTGCAACTCATTTAGAATCAAGCCCATGGTCTCGTCATACATTTTTATTTTCTTATAATTTCCATCCAACAACAAATGCTTGGCCAACTAAGGATCACTGAATTACGACTAAAAAGTTTATTTAAATGTACAAAACTCCAATACAGCGTCTATACGGAAAGACAAAGTTGGTCATGGTAGTCGAAAGAAGAAATGTCGTATTGAAAATTTGACTACGCCATAAAGTCAGGAAAAAATAAAAATGTTTTTGAGATATAGTTGGTATGCAAAACAAATGAATATCTGTTAATTCACTTCCTAGAAAATTCTGCTACCCAACTTTGACCCCTTAAGCGACTTCGTTTTGTAGCGTTTTTTCTGGGTTCTTTTGGGTGTGGATTAAAAACACTCGATTCCACAAGACGAAATGCACTAATTTAGATGTTTAAGATACAACAGACCTAACTTTAACTTAACTAGCTAGAACATTTATGTACACCGCTATTTATGTCTGACTACTTATTTACGAGTTATTATGTCGCGGCATTCACCCAACTCTACTCTGCTTCCGCATCGCATGTACTCGCTAGTTCGAGAAAGGTCCGGTGAGCAACTTAGCGGCAGTCCAGAATCTTCGAGGTCACTTCGCGTCGATCTTGTGGTTCCCAACAGATGGCGCTAGTAGTGCCGAAAGAGAGTCCTTGGCGCGGATCTCAACAGATGGCATTGGCAGTACTATTCATTCTTGTTACAGTATCTTTTACAGTTTACGTGATCCCAATGGCGAGGGTCTAATTTGAAACACCTTGTAAATTTGACACGCGGAAAATTTTACGTACGGATAACTCCTTGACCTTTGGAGACCATGGTCAAGGTCTAATGTCTCATTGGTGAACAAGATTCAATCGATAAAATAATATATGTATATGGGTAGAAACATTTTGGACGCCAAGGTATCATCCGAACGTTAAATTCTCTACTCTACCTAAGAGTATTTTCAATGTCAAAAATATAGGGTCTAATTTAAAAAAACTGACATGACCCTGAAAGTCAAAGCTAATATCAAACTCAAGGTCACCGTCATATCGGTAAGAACGGGAACCGGAAGAATACTTTACTACGTATGGCTTGGTAGAATTTCTTTTAGACTCATGTTATTTGCCGTATTCGGACAAAAATAAAAGTGAAACTCTGATCCTACAGAAAATCTCAAAATTATTGTCAAATAGTAAAAAATTAGCTCGCCCTCAAATACAACCAGAGCTTACTTCAGGATGACCATAAGTTTTAAATTCCACTTTCCAAATTTTGTTTGAGCATCTTCTTGTAAATTTATATTTTTAGTTATGTTTTGGCTTCGGCTTTGAGAGATATGAACCAAACCAAAGAAATTACAGAAGCTCCAAAGGACTGTGATAATTCTGGATCTATTTGGGAAACGGGGAAAGATTTGTTTGATTTTATCAAGAAGCAAGTTTTACTGAATGGTGAAACAGGAAAAGTTGCTTTTGATGACCAAGGAGATAGAATCAATGCTGAGTATAATATTGTAAACATACAGAGAAAGAAAAAAAAGGTTGTTGTTGGAAAATACTTTTTCCATCGGGTAAGTTGAGATCGCTACCTTAAACTTCTGTACTTTGTCTATCACATTTTGAAAAATGGTGAATGAGACATGACCTTTGTTATAGTTCATGACTAAAACGCATTTGAGTATGCAAAAATTGACTAGGGTCTGAGAGCTAAGATTTCCTCAATCTCAACGAACTGGCTGACATCAGATTACTCACCCGATTTAGCGATTTAGATATGTATTTGGCGAAATTACAAATGCTCCATAATATTTGAAAATTTTCTGCAATGGTGTCTTTAGATTTCCAAAGTTTCTCAATCAAAATTTCCATTTTCGTCTTCCGTTATTGCAATCGAACAAAACCCGATACACTGGAATAATTGGTAATTACGAATATAGCCATTTCAAAATGCTGAAGTGCCGCGAAGCTTTATTTGGAGTAGTAAAATAGGAACTTTGGGTCAGAGAAACACTGATATCAGATTTGTGATTTACGCTCCAGATTTATAACATAGCCACAAAGTTATTTCCGCTGGCGTAATGGTGTAATAAAGGATTGCGAATATTGTTGTATGAATTTGGTTTTCCGGAAACCAGCCGTTTTTTGTAAATCAGCGAAAAACCCGAAAAACCTCTTTTTCGCTGAAACGGCTGAGGATATCTGGGATTTTTTTACACGAAAAGTTTTCTAATTTTTGGGCCATCAATAAAGGTCTCTACAAATTTTTCGCTAAATTGCTTAGTTTTCGCGCTACAGCTTGCTGATGGCTTGTGGGCGAGGGGGTTTGCGGGGAAAGGGACGCGCGTACACCTGTCGCCAGACGCCGCACCATTGAAGCGGAACGATCCTCTTTTATTTCGACGTCCTCCGTGTCTCTCTCTCAGTGATAGGCCAGTCGATTTCGAATAATAAGCTCGTTTGTAGTTGTGGCGTTCACCGACTTACTCTGTATCCATCGAAGAAACAAAGTAAAATCAAACATATACACCCGTATTGCACGTGATCAAGAACTTAACCGTAGGAGACGCTACAGGGCCGTATCAAGCTATTGTGACTGATCTATCAAAAAATGTCGTACAAGATATGTGTTGCTGTAAATTCTATCAAAAGCATAGTAAATTATCTAATCATATTTCGACATTAGGAATCAGTGCAAAAAATTCTGTATTCACCATTTCAGCAAAGTGTTACTAAAACGCACACGAAAAAAACTTGTGGACCGTCTCAATTGAAATTGTTCATATTTTATTATTAACTCACATATATACCCAATAATATTTACAAATCAACCTTCTATTCACAATGCAGAGCAAATTTTTTTGAGCAAATAGAAACTACAGACGTAGTAGTAGTAGTACAAAAGTTTATTACAGACTCCATAAAGTTTGTTAGTTTGATTGCTATTAAAATTTACATGAGAAATAGGAAGAAGGTCAAAATGGCACTATTATGCTTTGGAACTCCTAAATTAACCCTAATTTTGTGTAATTATAAATTTGGAATTTCCACATTAATAACTAGAAACTTACACTTTGATTGCAGTCTATAATGAACTTACCTGTCTTGTCAAAAAGCCCGTTAAACTGCCAGTCTTAATGGTATCAATCGATTTATATGGTGTATTCCGAGGAGCTTGAATCATCAGAATTGTTGATGTCAATTATAAGGGGTTCAACTTGGGTGTCAATGATATTGTCCATATCCCACATTTTGGTTTCAACCTTCTCTTGGACATGGTCAATACATGTTCTCCATTTTGCTGGCGTAATTCTATCGACAGCAACATCAAACAGTTTTTTAAGGTCAGAAAACTTAAAAGTGCTGTTATTTGACGCCACGTATTGCTTGATGTCGGCCCAAATCAACTCGATAGGATTCAGTTCGCAGTGATAGGGAGGCAGCCTGAGAATCGTTTTATTTTGGTTTTTGGCCATTTCGTCAACAATTTTTAAATCATATTTATACTTATGTCGCTTGACTATATTTATCAGCTCAGCTTTGACCATTGTTTGGTCGAAGTCGATCTTCTTTGAGACAAGCCACTGTTGAATGTCTGCCTTTTTGGTGGCCATTGTTGGAATTTTTTCCAATTTTCTGGAGTGGTACGGGGCATTATCCATCACAATAATTGCGTTATCATCAAGTGTCGGCAAAATTTTTTTGAACCAATTTTCAAATGAGTTACCATCCATTTCTTCGTGATAGTCTCCAGTTTTTTTGGATTCAAATGCCCACAATGCTTCAGGAACAAATCCATCTACGCTACCTATGTGGCAAATGATCAGGCGTTTTCCCTTGCCTGAAAGTAATTAGTTATTTTACTTCTCAGCGAGCGCACTAAATGACGAAATTAAGCAACTTACTCTTTTTAGGTTAGTGTAGGATAGGGTCTTAGATTAGTTTTTGGGTGAAGGAAATACTCAGAAACTTGGATGAGATAGCAAAACTGAGTTCGCAGCTTCCAAATCATTGATTCGATCAGAAAATGAATTATCTGCATCCAAAAAAGTTCATATACTTCGAAACTTACCTGCAGGATTTTTCAATCCCGTCGAAAGGCCATCTAAAAAAGCCTGCCTTGAGGACCTCACAGATCTGTCTACCCAAACCTTTCCCTGCGTATGCCCCGCGTTCACCCATGTTTCGTCTAAATAATAAATTTTTCTTCCTTCAGCGCGGAATTGCCTAATTTTTCTAAGGTAGTCTCTCCTCCAGATAACAATTTCCTCCTTTTCTATCAATAAACTATTCCTTCCTCTTTTCAAAAATCGGAAGTCTAGTTCTTTCAACAGCTTATGGAACGTAGATCTTTTAAAATTTGGCAGGTCCTCATCATCATTCACTTGCTTGAATATTTTATCTATTGTAGGTATTTGATTCCTGAAGAAAAAGTGATGTACTTTTCTTCTATTGGCACTTTTGTCAAAGTCATCTATTTTTTCGATGATTTTTTTTCTCGCTGGATATGTTTTTGGCTCAGATAGTGAGTGATTTTGTCTATATTCCTTCAAGATTTTGTAAACACTTGATCGACCTACTCCAGAAATTTCAGCAACCTTACATACGATATTTTCTATAGCCAATCCACTATTCTCTTGCATCTGGTTCTTGTAGATATTTAGAATAATTTGTTTTTCACCTGCGCTAAGATGAAGCTTTTTAGCCCTTTTGCTGGGTGGCGTTAAGCTGATTTCAACCACTTCATCAGCTGTATCTGTGTCAGACATTTTAGACTAATATTAAATTTCCGCAAGAAAAATCAAGTCAAGACGTGCATAAGACGTTCGCGCTCATAAACGGGTATCCGTAACTGATTACAATCCTGTGCGTGGTGACGAACCATCAACGTGACGCTGAGAGTTCCCTCTACTATGCAGCGTTGCCAGGCTTAATGTCACAATGATCATGTTTTATTGGGAAAATTGTCAGAAATCGCCGAATGTTGAACAGAAACATTACAATAAGTCTAACCTTGAAATGTGAGGCTACAAATCGATATTCTTATAGGGGGGAAGGGTAGGGAGCTGTTATGGTTCCTATTAACCTTGGTGAAAGTTGGAAACGGTAATATCATATATGGCATACATTCGGTTGAAGGTGTGTGCACGGAAAATAGATTGCGGATAGGATTTTAATAGATAAATCTGCACAAAAAACACAAAAGGAGATTTTTGTATTTCCCTGAAGAATATCTCAAGGTTATTTCAGATGTACTCATCGAAACTTTATGGAAGGATTATCGAAACCTTATTTTCAATTGCGATAGGGCCACATACCTCGACATCGCATTAATGTGAAAAATAAGACAATAGAAAAAAATTCCCTCACTGATGCTATCTCTTAGGAAAAATTTAACTATAAAGATTGAACAAAAATTTTCTTCACCTTTTTGAGCTTGTTTTCGCATCTCCGTATATGCCGTTCATAATTTGCTGCAGATCAAATTGGAATATACCTTTGTGATGCCATTTATTGTTATATAATGTCCTTTACAACAGTTATTGCACGTATTGCACCAACAGATTGATTTGTGATCCATGCGAATGTGATCAACCACTCTGGCGAAAACTCGCCGAGCGTGGCAACCGTGCGACTTTGTCTGGAGGCTCGTCGCTACAAGCCAATCAAGAAGAGGCCGACAGAGCGCCATGGCTACCGATCACGCGTTGATCACGAATCAACCACTGTTTACGATTACTTTGTAGCTTCGTTAGATACACTATGCATATTAATGAATTTTTGAAATTTCTGCGTTTAGAGTACAAGATGCAGTAATTTTTCTTCAGTCGCTTACCGATTGACTGGATAAGTGAGGTATAATATTTTCATTTAGAATTGGAACAACAATAAAAAACCTACAGCTGCAATAAAGGTGTGAACGTGTATATAAATGAGTGGCAATGATAAGAATACATTACAGGATGTAGAAGCCCAATGAGTCATCAAAAGACTCGCTTTCGAGGCTCCTCGTTATTTTCATAGTTATCCTCGCAAATCAGTTTGATCAGTTGTTAATCTACGATCATGATAAGAGATTTAGCAGTTTTTGAGCCGCGTCTATACGTTGGTCTGACCTACGCCAACGCAAATATGTAAAGAATAGACAATGGCCGATGGTGATGAGTATTTGACGATATCTTCTCTGCACACTCGCTGTGGAAAAACATTACTTCATTATATTTTAATCGAGATAAGAAATTATGTACAAACCATTAATTGGAAGTTGCATCATTTTTTTATATTTTCTATTTTGATAGAGTATAACAAATTATTTTTGTGTTCAAATATGTTTGTTTTACATTTGTTACTTTACATTTCACACATATAGTTGTACAAAAACCCTCACTTGAGCCAATGAAACCTACAATAGCATGTAAGAGGAATTGAAAGTATATACAGTTCAATGTTATATCCACCCCAATCTGTTACAAGTAGGGTAAATCATTGAAGGTCAAAGTCATTAAAGTCCTTCGTTAATTTCCTCGTCATCGGTCGTTGCATCGTGGCTGCTTGATGAGGTCTCATCATCTTC